ACGCAGAGGAGTCAGATCAGAGGGAAGGGATGTAAGAACTCTGCCCGCTGCTGCTGGCTTTGAAGATGGAAGAAAGGGCCATAATCCAAGGAATATGGGCGGTCTCCAGGAGCGGGAAGGTGCAGAGAAGGGACTCTCACCTAGAGGTCTCAGAGAGGAACCAGCCTTGCCTACACCTGCATTTTAGCCCAACAGGACTCATTCCGGACTTCTGCACTTTAGAACCACGAGATAATAGATTCACGTTGTTTTAGCCACTAAATTTGTGCTCATTTTTTACAGCAGTGACACGAAACCTATGCAGGTGGTAGATTTTACGTGATTGAAAATAGCTCGAAAGAAGACTACTGGAAACTAAAAGAGACCGAGAAGGCTTTCAATGGCAATTCTAGGATTTCCCCCCAAATCGCCCAGTGTGAGGGAGGTTGGAGGAGGAAGATTAGCTCATTTATGAAAAACAAAAAGGCTACCTTTTGTTTTTTCACACTCCTGAATACAGAGAGTTAAATCCAGGCCCCTGTTGCACCTTTGCTCTGAGGCTCGGCTTTCTGTGCAAACCAGTCTATTAGGAAGAGTTACACATTACTCTTTTCGGAATGCCGGAGCTGATCTGATTGCTTCTGAAGACAGGGCTTGGTGAGCGGGGGAGGGAGGAGAACGCGGCTGAGCACCTGGGTTCCCCGGAGGCGGCCAGGCTGCTCCTGATGCAAGGGTGTGGCGCCCGCCCCCTGGACGCATTGCTGCCCTTGAGCAGAGCTGTTCTCAGTCCCACTCGGCCCTGCTCCGTAGGCGCTGTCTCAGAGGGGCCATAAACTCCGCATCGTGCGCCGCTGAGTGCAGAGAGTTCATTATGCCCAACAGCGAGACCATTCGCTTGGCGTCGCTCAGGGCTGTCACATGTTCGCCGCTTCTGTCTGCCCGTTTCAGATACCTGTGGTTTCGGCTCTGCAGCTGCAGTCCCAGGTGTCATCACTGGTCTCTGGCCCTCCAAAGTCAAGGCGTTTTGAATCAAAAGTTGTTTTTAATGTTTAAAATAAACTTTCTGTTGCCATCATCATCAATTAGTATTCCTGACTCTCGAAAGGCTTCTTAACAATATGTCGGAAAGAGCACTGAGCGGTGATGAAACACCGGGTTCTACACACGCCCCGCGCCGCGGTAACGACCGCCAGGATTTCTCATTTCCGAGGCACACAGACACCTGGAGGCTTTACAGGCAACCATGCTGGCACCTCGACCGCTCTGGGGCTCCCCCGTGATTTAGCAGCAGTTTCTGTTTAGAATAGGCAGTGGGGGGTAAAGCCGCGGGGGAGGAGGGATGGAGTCTAGCGATTGCCGGTCACCAGGACGCAGGAGGGGCATGGGACTGGGCATCAGACCGAACAGGCTCAGAGTCACTCTGACACCCTGCCCTTCTAAGGTGCTTCCTCACTGTACCTCCATGGCCACCCAAGAAAAAGGTAAGGTGGGAAAAATAGCGCTTGCACCAGGGGGTTAGTTAGTGTGGTGATTAATTCAGATTAAACACTTAGTTTCGGGTAGAAAGTGAAGTCTTGATGAATACCAGTCCTTTTTAGACAGAACCCAAAACTTAAGAAATCAACACTTCTGCCAGACCACAGTTATTTTTCTCATTTGCCTTCCACTTGGACTACACATCAGGATAAATGTTTAGGTCACCTTGACCCCCTGCTCGAGTGAGGTGGGCGTCCAGTTCCTTACACACCTGGAGTCCCAGGAAACAGCTGAGAAGACCGACGCCCGGGTCCCCTAACAGGCCTTCTCCTCTGCTGCCCAATCCCTGCCTTCCCCCATGTGGTTCCAATATCAAAATATTTAGTTCATCTGTCCCAGCGGGTTTGGACTTTCTCTTCGTTTGTGCTTCTTGAAATAATATGCTCCCGAGGCACAGACCGTTCCTTCATCACTAAAAAAGGTCAAGCATTTATTAGTCTGTGTATAAACACGACAACAAAGGAGCCCTTGTGAAAAACGGAATGTTCAGCTTGGACAGAACACAGAGGAGTTCCTCTTGAGTCTGGCAAATTCCCTGGGAGTTCATCCCCTTTAAATATGCCACGTTAATATCACTGTTTCTCTGTGGGCTCTCAGCCTCCATTATAACCCCTGGAACACTTTCGGGGGCATTCTGCATGTACGCAGTCCAAGTGCAACCTCGTTCCCCACTCAGACGTATTAACAGACTCTTCAGACACACTCATCCTAGTGCTAGGGGTGTGCTCTCTTGTGTGTTGCTCCAGCACTTAGAGAGACTCAGAGGAGAATGTGACTTTTCTTTCTCGCCAGCAGCCATTTCATACGCTCGTTATTCCCATCCTTCTGGGCAGCAACCATGGAACTCCAACCTCTGGCTCACTGTCCTCATTCCATGTCCTCTTCAGATGACCCTGACCTGACACGGAGCTCCCCCTCTGTCACCACAGTCTCCATGTCCATCAGAAAGTTTTCTTATCCAAGGAATGAAGGAGCGATGGGCTCCATGTGAGAAGTTTTCTAGCCATTTTCAGGTAAATCTTACCTTGAAGAACGGCGATCAAGTTCCAAGCCCCTTTAAAGCTAACAGAGTTAAAACATCCATCTCTAATTGGAGAGGCCTAATTGCATGTTTCTGCTGAGGCCTGCAGGTATGTGGGCTCATTAAAACCAGTTTGGCCGATCTGCACTCCCGCCTCGGCTAAGGCTGTTTCAGCCTTCCCGCATTCCGTGTGAACGGTGGAGCTGTTGGTTGCCTTCCCTCTCCTACTCCTTCCTTTTCTTCTTTTCCTCCTCCTCCTTCTGCTCTTCTTCCTCCTGCTTCTCCTCTTCCTCTCTCCCCTCTCCAGCTCTCCTTCCCAATTCTCCTTTTCCTCTTTTTCTTTTTAACCAGACCTGCATTTTTGTCCAGAGCTAACTGGAGAAGCAATGAGGCTTGAAAAGGAATCCAGAACTAAATCCTTATTTTCCTGCTATGAATTTCTCTGGTGCTTGGCAGGAAGTCACGTGATAGTACTTTTTCAACTTCACGTCAACTTGTATCATTTTGTAACCGCCTAAGTGAATGTCAGCCCTGAAATTTAGCAGCCTCCCCTTCTCACAGGAAGTATGAGGTACATTTCATTCTAGTAAATGGAACAAACATCTGCTTCCAGGAGCTGGCCCCCCACGTACTTTCCTATTTTCTTCCTCTACTATGCTCACTTCCCCAGTGCACAGGCGAGTGTGCATGCACACGCACATGATGTTATTAGTACATCACATTATTCCTTTTCCTCTGAGCTAGGACCAGTTTCTGAGCTCCAGCTAGGTGAGTAAATGAACAAAATAAACTGTGCAATTACAGCCTGTGCCTGTGCGGAAACTTGCCGTTTTTGGAATACTACCCTTTCCACTATCCCATTTTTATTGAGGAAATTTCTACTCCTCTTTCAGGCTCAGCTTGATGCTGCCTCTTCTTGAAGTCCTCACTCAGTGTCCGTCTGTCCCTCCTCCTCACACTCACAGTGTTTTATTTCTTGCGTACCACGGTCGCTCTATCATTTTTTAAGTGCCTGTATTCCTCCCTCCTTACCATGCAAGTTCCTTCTGGTGGGAAATGTCTCTTTCATCTCTGTACCCCCCAAATCTAGCATAATGGTTACTGTAAGATGAGCTTCGAGATGTTTAACATCTTGGTTTACTGTCTGTGAAGTTCTGGGAGAATTCCAAGTTCAGGCATGGGGAGTAGACAGAGAGTGTCCACCAAAGAAAATACAGCATGTCCAGCAGGAGTTGAAGGTGATATGTATCCAGACATAGATACTGGGTCTGGAGCTGAGGGGAGATCAAAACTAGAGACACAGAAGCCCTGGCCAGATAGCTCAGTTGGTTAGAGTGTTGTCCCGATACACCAAGTTTGAGTTCGATCCCCAGTCAGGGCACATGCAAGAATCAACCAATGAATGCATAAATAAGTGGAAAAACAAATTGATGTCTCTCTCTTTCTCAAAATTAATAAAATAAAACACAAGTAAACAAACTAGGTGTGTAGAGCTGGGAGTTGCCGGTATGGAGGTGAAAATTACAACCATGGGAGTAGGTGAGCACTGAAGCAAGGGCTCTCGAGTCCACACTGGAGAGGGCAGCAGACAGGCCCTGGGGGAGGGCAACGATGGGCAGGGTCCAGCGGTGGGCTGTGGGCAGGAATGGAGCGAGAAACAGGGGGAGAGCAAGAAGGGAGTGAAGTCATGAAAACTAAGGGAGAAGTCAAGTTCAGGAGGATGGGCTGCTGGTTAGGGTTAAAAGCTACAGAACTAGGTAACAGCTGGAGAGAAGTACGAGGGCAACACAAGATTTTCAAAGGAGGGAAATAACTATTTTCTTAGAAAGGTGCTTATTTTTAAGGATAAAACAAATAGTTGGTTACTAAAACCTGACGGGTATAGGTTCTCGTGGCTCCTCAAACCCCGCCAGGGAAGCCGTATTCTGCGCTCACTCTTCTTGCTTCTCCTTATGAAAGGGGTTTTGCAGGAACAGACAGAAACCTTTGCCCACACCCTGTGACGACGTCAGAGTAACTGAGGAACTCCACACCAGACGCTCTGCCTCGCTGATGACCCCCTACCTTGTCGTGGGGCCGCTGGGGAGGGGTCTCCAGGGAAACCCTGAGGTCATGGAGAACATGACCCCTGCCCCCCGGGAAGGCCGTGGAAGGGGGGGCTCACGGAAGTGCCCGGAGGTCAGCCTTCTGAAACGTCAGCCCCGACAACAACAGCATCACAACCCGATTTATATTAATTTGTATTTACCTTATTTATGTTGAAAGAAAGTATGTCTCTTTTTGAAAGAGATTAAACTAATACCGACATAAAAACTGTTACGGTTTTTCTTATTTTATTTTGGGGGAGGAGAAGGTCCCCATCTGTCGGCTCTTCTGATCATGCACCTGTCCGTCCGTCCGTCCGTTCTCTGTCTGTCCACCTGAACCATTTTTTAAATTTTTATTTATTTGTTTTTACATACAGGTGAAAGAGGGGGAGAAACATCAATGTGTGGTTGCCGCTCACATGCCTTCTGCCGGGGACCTGGCCCGCAACCCCAGCCTGTGCCCCAACCAGGAATCGAACCAGCAACCCTTCAGTTTGCAGGTCAGTACTCAATCCACTGAGCCACACCAGCCAGGGCAACTGAACCATTTTTTAAGGTCCTCTTATTTACTGGGCTGTATGCAAGTTCCTACTAAAAATGAGTAAGACCAGGTCCCAGACCTCAACCAAGTCCCATCCTGTATATAGGAATTTGATCTCAAACATAATGAAAATTAGGCCAGGAATCAGGGTATATATCACCTTCCTTTAAAATAAAGCCCAAAGATACACTTTAGGCAGCATCTCTGTACTTCCTGGTATACTAATGCTTCCCGACGCTATTACCCTCACCGGTAAATGTCAAAGGGGAGAGTGATATTTTTGGAGCTGTCTTCTTATCCCTATTACAAAAATAGATTATAAACACATACACGTACATCACAAAAGGAACTAGGCTAATATTTCTAAACAGGGACAAGAGTTAGCATATTTTTATTTTTCATTTATGTATTTTTAGAGAGAGGGGAAGGGAGAGAAACATTGACTGGTTGCCTCTCATATGCATCCTGATTGGGGACCGGGCCCATGACCCAGGCATGTGCCCTGACTGGGAATCAAACCGGCGACCTTTCGCTTTTGCAGGCTGATGCTCAACCAACTGAGCCACACTGGTTGGGGCAGCATGTTTTTAAAGTTCACAGTTACATTCCTATTGTCAGGTATAATCACCTGTTAGTTTCAACTCCTTGTTTTCTGAGAGCTCTCAAAATCTACTGGCATGAGGTAATCTGCTTCAAGTTCACAAGGATGTAAGCATTTCATGGTCAAAGGTCCCTGAAGGAGCCTGTGTGAGTCAATATTTCCATCGAACCATCTTCATAAAGGCATAACCTAAACCAATAGATACTGACCCCTAATAACAACACGAAGCTATAAATGAACTCACGTGTATGAGTGTTTATTTTTAGGTAGTTTTCCCCCTACATGGGACATCAGTCTTAGGCAGCATTTAACCGTGATTTACAGGAGGCATACGCTAAGGGGAAAGACTGTCTATACTAAGGCAAAGGACGAAGGAGTCAGAGCCAGGTGAACTGTCATGCTGCTCCACCACGGCCCCTCTGCTCCTCTCAGAGGTCCATCTGGATCGCTGCTCGGAGCAGTGAAAGATGCAATGCTTTCCATGAGGCTCGCTGGAGAAGGTTGGGGCTTCTCTAACCTTGCAGGGCACACCCTCATAGAACAGCCCCTTCCTTGATCTGTTAGGAGTTGGAATGTCGTATTACGTAACAACTATGCTATATTTAATTCAAAGATTCTGTTGGAGACACTGTCAAAACAGCAGGTACAGGGCTGCAGGAGCCTTTATTATTCATCACAGATTGGCAGCCTGATGTGCAGAGACCAGGGCTGATAGGATATTCAATCCCCAACTTCATCTTTCTATTCCCCTCGAACAGCATGAATCAGTCAGCTCTGCTGCTGTAACAAACAACCCCCCAGATCTCAGAACTACAAAGGCTTTTCCTGTGACCTGGAATGAAGATGACATTGCATTAAAACTGGCCTCAGGTCTTCTTCATTCCAGATCCAGGCCGGAAGAGCAGTGCATTTTTGGACACACAATTCTTACGGCAACAAGAAAAGAACAACAGAGCTGGTGGAAACACACAACGGCTCCGTCGTAGTTACTTTAGGCTGCTACAACAAAAACACCATGGTGCTTTTGTTACAGATGGCTTAAACCACAGGCTTTACTTTGTCCCAGTTCTGGTGGCTGGCAAGTCCAAGATCAAGGAACCTGCAGATTCAGTGTCTGGAGTGGAGCTGTTTTCTGGTTTGCAGACAGCTGTCTCCTCACTCTATCCTCACATGTCTGAGAGAGAGACGCATCATCTCTCTCATGCCACCTCTTACGTAAGGGCACTGATCCCATTCATGAGGGCTCTGCCCCCATGACCTATTTACCTCTCACAGGCCCTACTTCCAAATACCATCACATTGTGGGTTAGGGCTTCAACATGTGAACTTTGGGTGGAATACTGAGTCCATAGCAGGCTTGAATGCAAAGCTTCTGCACAGATGAAGCAGAATTGAGGTTACCCACATACCACCAACCAAAGTACTGACATGCCCAAACCTCACATCAAAGGTGGAGAAATTGCACAGTCCCCCTCAGGAGGCACAGTCATGTAACGTTTTGTCTAGGAATGATAACAGTTGACCACGCCTTGTTCCTTGCTACTGCCCCTACCTGATTCTCCAGCCTATTTCTTTAACTCAAGGAGGGTGCCTGCAGTGTTCCTTGGAAGAAGACCACACAGGAAGTGAGGCTGCAGCAGCTGATGTTTCTACTCTTCCCTGTTTGTTCTGATCAGCCTCTGCGTGCAGAAGGCAGAGTGAGTTGGGAAGGAGATGAGGTGGAAGACAAATGAGAGCATCGAGACCTTTGTCATTAACTGAAGGGGTCACTCAGGTAGTGCCTCTGGGGCAAGAGACGGGGTGACCTTCCGGTGCGTCCTAGAGGTCTGTTCCTGAGAGCATGTAATTAAGCCCACTCCGCCAAGCCATCACCCTCTTCAATGAATATTTACTGAGCACCCACTGAGACACTGGCCCTGGACTCAGAACTATAAACTCTCTTGGGCTGGGAAAGGCTCTGACTCATTTGCACATTAAAAAACACACAGCCAGTGGAAGCCCACCCTTCTGCCTTCCCAGTCACCCTGGGAGAGAACTCAGGCTTCTCCATTCATGTGTGGAAACCCAATTAAACGTCGTAAACAAAGGAAACTTCTTACATTGTAATTTTCCTCCCTCTCCCCTTGCTTTCTTCCCAGTTGGATTTATTGCTCAAGAATTGTCTCCTTTAAGCATCATCCCCTATTACTCAGAGAGATAAAAGCCATAAATGGAAGGGAACTCCCTCAGTTCTCTTTGCCAGTTTTGAGACGAAGCAGCGCCTTCACAAGGGGAGTTGACAGCTGTTGCCTGAGACTGTCTGTCCTATACCAGGGCGGTGCTCATGTTTGGAATGCAAACTGCAGCCCTCCGAGCCTGGGCTGGGGGCTGGGCTCGGCGGCTTGAGCCCAGGGCAGATCTGCCTGGGGCCAGAAAAGAGACTGTGTAGTTTTGAAGAAGATGCATGCTCTTCACGTGGTTGACTTGCAAAGCAAGAACGCTAGGGGTTTTTCTCCTTCTTAGCCTATCACAACAGTTAGAGTAAGTAGTATAACTTAAGACAGGGCAATTCTATCAATTCCATGCAATACTTAGTCCACATAACTGGATGAAACAAGTTAGCATCACATGTAAAAGGCATTTCACTTTTGCACGTATGGTATAATATTAGGAGCAAACAACATATGTCTCCATGCTTATAAACAACGGTGTTGTTTGCAAAACAGACCCTAAATGTAGAACATCTATAACGGGGATAACATATAGGGTTTCCGTTGGTTGAAATGGTGTTAAATACTTCAACCCACATGATTTTTATAAGACATGTTTTCTCCTTCTCTGTGAATACCAAGGAGCATTGTATTTACCTTTCTCCAGACTTGAGTTCTTGGCTCAGTTACTCCTCTGTGACCTTGAGCATCTCAACTAGTCCGAGCTCCTGTTTCTTCACCTGCAAAATGAGGTTGTGGAGCTGGATCAGAGTTTCTCTAGATCTATTCTGGGAAACACAGTTTCTGAGGAAATTAATGGAGACAACATTTTAAAAAGGGAGACCCATGGTCAAATACGTTTAGAAATCATGACACTACACAGAATTAAGCACACTTCCTTCTCAGGGCCTTCGTGTTCCAACAGCACTCATTGCGATTCTGCGAGAGGGGGACAGAGCGTGCATTGTCTCCCTAAGTTTTTTTAACTAGAAAACTTTTTCTTGCAGATCATTTCTCAGAATCAGCCTAAATATAGGCTTTGAAGACCCTTCGACTTGTGATTAAACTGCCTGTTTATTCTGCCGAACTTTCCAGTTTCTCTCCTCTGTCAGGAAAAGAACTACCTGGGCTTCCTGACTCATTTGCACAGTGAACATCTGTGTGTTCTTTATTCTTTCCCCCTGCAATTTACTTAGAAGATTTTCAAACCCACGGAAAGTTGAAAGAATAGTACAATAAGTATATACTCTTCAGTTAGATCCCACAATTGTTAACATTCTGCTCCAGTTTCTCGTCCTCTCTCTCTCCACACACATATACACATACATTTGTACATTTTATGTACTGTATTTCTAATTTTACTGCTGAGCCATTTGAAAATAAATTGCAGATATCATGATACTTTACCCCTAAATACTTCAAGATGTATCTCCTAAGATCTAGAACATTCTCCTACATAACCTTAGAATCATTACTACACAAAGAAGCTTAATATTGATTAATATCATCTAATGTATGCTCCCCATTTAAATTTTTCTAATTTGACCCCAAAGTGTCCTTTATAATTTTTTAAAATCCAGGATCCATTCAAGGTTCACATGTTTTATTTGGTTATGTCTCCTTGCTTCTTTTATCTAGAACCATCTACCTCATTGGTTTGTCTTTTATGAAATTCTCCTTAATAAAATGTTTCATTATATTTTTTCATTACCATTTAACCCCCTTATACACCCCCCCCAGCAATCACCACACCGCTGTCTGTGTCCGTGGGTCCTTCTTCCTTTCTGCTCCGTCCCTCCACCCCAACCTTACCTCCCCACTAGCCGTCATCTCTTCTTCGTCTGTGAGTCTGTCTCTGTTTCGCTTGTTAGTTCAGTTTGTTCATTAGATTCCACGTATGAGTGAGATCATGTGGTATTTGCCTTTCTCTGACTGGTTTGTTTTACCTAGCATAATAACCTCCAGGTCCATCTATGCTGCTGCAAAGGGTACAATCTTCTTTTTTATGGCCAAGTAGAATTCCATTATGTAAATGTCCCATAGTTGTTTTATCCACTCATCTACTGATGGACACTTGGGCTGCTTTCTTACCTTGGAGATTGTAAATAATGCTGCAATGAACAGAGGGTGCTTATACTCTTTTGAATTAGTGTTTGGGGTTCCTTTGGATATACTCCCAGAAGTGGGATTGCTGGGTCAGGTGGCAGATCCATTTTTAACTTTTTGAGGTATCTCCATACTGCTTTCCGCAGTGGCTGCACCAGTCTGCTTTCCCACCAACAGTACACAGGAGCTCCCCTTTCTCCACATCCTCGCCAGCACTTGTTTTTTGATTTGTTTATGATGGTCATTCTGACAGGTGTGAGGTGATATCTCATTGTGGTTTTAATTTTGTAGACTGTCTAAGATTTTAAATTTGGGTGATTGTTTCCTGATAATTAGATTCATTTTAAATGTTTTTGACAATATATCAATAGCTGAAACTGTTGTATATTTCAGTCTGTGCCATATGAGGATGTAATATCATTTTGTTCCATTACTGGTGATGTTTTGAATAATAGCTTGGTTACACTACTACTTGTGACATTCCTCTCTAATAATGTGTCTTTTCCCCTCAGTAATTAATATGTGATCTGGTGGTCAGTACTTGAAGACTTGTGAATAACTTCTTTCCCAACAACCCTTCACCCAGTGGCTTGAGCATTCATCGATGATTCTCCCCTGGACCAAATATTAGACTGGGATTGCAAAAGAGTGATTGTTATCATCCTATCATGTTCTACTTTATCAGCTGCTATTCTCCTATAGAGAAATCTCCCTTTCTCTCTCATTTCTATCTCAATCCCTTTGAAAATCATAGATTCTTCTTTTTATTTGATGTTTGATAATCAATTATTATAATTCATTCTTCTAACATTGATGTGGAGACTACTCTGTGCCTGGTACTAAAGTGAGATTAACCGAATGCTAATCATAGTCCTTACTTTTCCCCACAGTTCTTAAGAAAACCATCCGTGCACCATGGACAACTAATCCAAATCCTTGGACCGGCCGCCCTGCCACAAAGTTTTGTCAAAGGAGAGGGAACTGACGATGGAGATGGCAGTGGAGGGAGAGCTTCAAATTACAACCGTCATTCCCCCTTTGTAAACCTTGGCCAGGTGACTGTGGTTCCAACAACCATGAAATGGCCATCGGGATCAATCATCACACTGAGAAGAAAACAGTCACCACCTCTGGGGAGCTCTGCTGGACCGGCCCTGAAGGCAGGCAGTCCCAGCACCGAGGACCTGGGCCCAAGGCACAGGCTCAGGACCCATGTAAAGGCGGGTCATAACTTCTGTTCCCAGTCATTTAATGATGACCTGAGTCAGTGGGGACACTGGGGTAACTATGTCCATGTCTTTAGCATATGACAGGTTATTAAGCAAATAGTCAGGTACCGAAGACCCCAGGAAATGCAGGAGCCCCAGGGCACTTCCCTAGGCAAACACAGGCCACAGGCCCCACACGGGCAGCACCCTCACCTCTCCAGCAGGATCTGAACCAAATACTTAGTCACTGAATGAATCTGAAAACAGCTTTCAGTGGAAAGATAGAGGACCCTCTGTTCGTGGGGAAGGACAGCCCAGCCCATCCTGGTGGACTTGTCCAGTGGAAGGAGGGTTCTGAGCTTTGTGTACGAGGGAAGACCTTTTTCCGTGCAGCAAGTGTGGGTGCCCAGGACCCAGCTGGCTGTCAGAGGACGTACAATCTTCTGGACTTGACTTTGCCTCTTCTGTGGGAGGGTCCCTGTTCTCGGGGAAGCCTAGAAGCAGCTCCTCCAGCCCTAGAAGAATATATAGTCTGCGTTCTCCATGGGGAGGGGCAGGCAGACACCGGTGCGCTGCCAGGGAATGTGGTACCTGGAATCTTTGTTGCCTCGAGGTTTATAAGTCTTTGGTGTCTCTCTGAGGTGGTAGGGAAGATCCTCCAGCTGTCCGAGCGCCTCCAAAGGGACAAGGAGAAAGCCCAAGTTGGAAGACAGAAAACCGGAGTGCAAGTGCCATCCCTGAAAGGCACAAGGCATGAGGCCTCCGCAGCTTGGTTCACACCAGTCCTCTCACCTGTAAAACAGAGATTAAAAATACCTCGCAGACCTGTTGTGGAAATCACGTTAAATACGGTAAAGCACGTGCTCCGCTTTATTAGTTAGGACGCCTTTCATTCCAGGCAACAGAAACCAACCTGAAGTAATTTAAGAAAAAAAAAATGTGAGAGACTGAGACAGAATTAATTATGAGGGTACAGTGATACCCCAGCATCCTTAGAGTCAGGAACTCAGCCAAGCCGTCGGAAGAGGCTGGAACCAAGGAGCGAACAGGTATCAGGGGCCCCTGGGCCTCCCTTTGTATATCTGGTTTTTCCCTCCTTCTGTGAGGACCGCTTTCTCTCTTCTAAGCCAACAGAGCCGGCCGACTGTGACTGCCCACACAGCTTCCGAGTTTTCATCTTCCCTTTCCAAGACACCAACCCCAAAGCTCAGAATCCCATACGCAATTCCAAAGTCTCGGCTATGGCAGGAGTTTACTGCGGCAGAACGGGAGGTGGCTGGGGCTTTGGGGGGGGTGAGGGGGAGGAGTGAGCTCAGATAGTGGAACAGGGCTGAGGGGGCTCAGCCTTGGGGAGCAGTGGAGCTGAGGGGATCCTTGTGGGCTGAGGGGACCTTCTACAATGTGTCTTCCACGGTACCTAGTCCAGTCTCCTCCACATAACACGAGTATTCTTTTTCTTTTTCCTTCCTCTCATTCCAGCTGTGATGGACCTGGGAGAAGAACTGAGACAGCTTATTCAGATTATTCTGGGGCGTGTAGGGCCTTAGCATAAGTGAGATGGAAACCGTTAAGATAAACGTGGTCTCTGGCCGTGACACCAGCATGGGGATGAATAAGGCAGGGTGTGTGCTTCGCAGACTTCCTTGTCCTTCCTAAACTTGGCCTCTTGCTGTGTTCTCTGAAATGTATCTGTCCACCCTTGGAAAATTTGTTGCTTCTGGTGCTAGGACGGCAGGAACGACCCCTGTGTGCAGCCAAGTGCTGTCTATGGGAGCAGGAGCACTAAGGGGTAATGGCTGGGGCCAGTGGTTGCACAGAAAACTAGAGCCGAACTGCTACAAAATCTTAGCTGGTTCTTTCCTGCTCCTGCAGATCATGTTTCCAAGTGTAGCAATGGTGCATAAAGCCAACATTCATTCCTTCTCATTCTCTCTCTCTCAGTGCCTGCAGAGCTGAGCATTGTGCTGTTGACAGAGGTATAAAGAGAAGCACTCAAGATGTTTCACGAGTTCACCTCTTTCTCCTGGGCTACAAGCTGCCCACGGCAGGAACCTGGTACAGGAAGCCCACGGGCCTGGCCAGGGAGGGACCCCAGAGGGCACCCAGGGCTTTCCCACCCAGGGAGAACAAAAAAGAGGGCTCTGAAGTAAGGAGTGTTCTCCAGAACAAATATTTTTCTAATAGTTACATGAGAGCATAAAAACCTTTCTGGGTGACTCTATTTCCTGCCCACCCCCAAACACAGTCTTCGAAGTTGTAATGAAAAGAGCACATTTCACTAACGTCACTACTGAGACTCAAGTACATGCAGGAGCTCAGACCAAGCCTAAGTTCTTTCCCCAGAAAAGAGCAATGCACACGTGGTGCCTTAAGTTCACTTACTTTCACGTCGCCACTGAAAACAAATCACGTCTGGGCGGCAACATATCTTAGATGAGTTTTGTGGTTTCCTCCGATTTTAGCAGCTTAAATTGGAGGTGGCATTTCATCTTCATCTATTGGCACTTTTCCTCACCTGACTTTCTCAACCAGCTGAAAGCCCCTGAATCACTGGGAAATATTTAATGGGTAATAAGAATCGCTTGAGTGACAAGTCCCATTTGACTAAATAGCTCAGCCATGTCTTTGCTATTGATATAAATGCTTCCATATTACATTTACATCATTTATATCCTTTGTAAAAAAAATGTATTTCAACAGTACAAAAATAATGTGGCAGGAAGGTAACCCAGGGGTGTTATAAATATCACAGAAGTCATAACTATAATGATAATATTGGAATTTATCTTCAGAAGATAAAGGTTGAACTTATCAAGAGGCCACAAGTGAGCCATAAAGACTTCTTGATTGAGTACGGATACATTTCAGGTTTTCAATAATCTTGTTAAACACTCTGTAGTTCCTTATTCTTAATGCTGTTCCTTAGTTTTAACACTGCTCACTGCTTTTATAATTGCTGCTCTCCGTTGCTTTCCCGTGTCTGATAATCTCTAGGAAAACACTAGTAACCAGTCCAGCAGCCCCTTTCTTTTGTGCGTCTCCCTTCTCCCCACTGCCTACACCCAAGGGTCAAAGACACAAACACAGAAAGTGCGAATGAGAAGGAGGTATTTAGCAACAGGAGAGAGATGTACAGCTCCCCTTGCCCCTCTTCTCCAACTAAACACATCTCACCCTCCGAGGCCACCCTGCCAGTCTCTGTGAGCTCTGCCCTCACACAGTGACATGGTGTGGGCAGGGCTTAAACAACAGACCTTTATTCTCCCTCAGTTTGGGAGGCTACAAGTCCAAGGTCAAGGTGTCCGAAGAGCTGTTTTGTCCAGAGGCCTCCCTCCTGCGCGTGAGGGTGGCTATCTCCCTGTGTCTTCCCACGGTGTCCCCTCCGCTCGTGTCTTTGTCCTAGCCAGCTCTTCTTTGCAGGACACTAGTCTTATTGGAGCAGGGCCACCCTGATGCCCTCGTTATAACCTAATTATCTCTTTAAAGACCCTACCTCCCAAAATAGTCACATTGTGAGTCATGTGGGTTAGAAAGTCAACATATAAATTTGGGCAGAACACAATTCACCCCAGAGCCGCCACCCTCATCTACCTTTACTAAAACTCTGCTTCTCTGCTGTACCTGCCTGCCCTGGTATTGACTCTGCGACCTCTGCCATCGATCTCTGCCACTGTCTTAGTGGCTGCTTAAATGTCTCTGGGCAGTTACAGGCAGTGTCTTGACTGGTGTTGAGATAAAAGTCATTTCTCTCTGCACAGGATCCACCAGTACAGGGATAGTTTTCAGTCTCTTCCAATGCCTAGAACATAGCCAGCACATGAGTAGATAGGCTCATAATAAAACAAAACAAAAAATAAACACACCTCGGATGAATTGGAGAAGGAAGTGCCATTCTTTAGTTGCCATGTTTTATTCCTTTGGGAAGAGAAGCTTCTTAGAGTCCTCTGAAAAGAAAGCAATGGGATTCACCCAAGCTGGCTATCGAGAATAAAACTTGGACGAGTTTCAAAATCTGTCTTTCCAACTCGGTTTTTAAGCATAGTGATGTGCACGGTTTATAAATGGGTCCATCGCAGTAGTTTCACGGTGTGGACTTTGTTTACAGGGGCTCAGTTAGACTGACTTTGGACGATGATCACAGAGCTGCAGCAGCGACAGTGACCCTTCTGTAGAGTTGGACACCAGGGTGTAGGCACCGAAGACAGCTCTTCAGTTGTCTTATTGAAAAGGAGTTATTAGCAGAAGTATCGTCTACCCTTTGCTTAGCAGTTTGGTTTTTCCCTTTATAAAGCCACCTCAAGTACCCCTTTTAAAAAAGATTTTATTTGTTTATTTTAGAGCAAGGGGCAGGGAGGGAGAGAAACCTTGATGCAACAGAGAAACATTGATCAGCTGTCTCTTGTTTGCACCCCAAGCTGGGAGTAAACCCACACGCAACCCACTGAGTCCCATGGGTCAGGGCTGCCCTTCTGAACTTTACCAACATGGCGGGTAACTTTTTGTGTGATTTTGGAAGTTATTTGTCTATTCACATCTCTGTAACTGAAGCAGGCTCTTCAGAGCTCACTGTGCTCATCCCTGAAGATGAATAGACATCCAAAAATGTCTATTCCCTTATTTTCTCACATTCGTTTGAAAAACTCAGTCTCAAACAAGAGACACAATTTATGTTGTTTTCTGGACTCTTTAGGAATGTACCAAATATTGATCTTATTGAAAAAAATCATAATTCCTTAGCATAAGAAATAAGAGCCAGATTGAGGAAATCCCAGAATGTCCAAAATAATGGTTTATGTTATCTTTCAAGCCATCTCCAAGGAGAAGTAGCCCTCACTATCATGTAGCTGGTAATACAGAGGAAAACGACAGAGAATTCTGATTTAATGCTTCCTGCGTTGTTCATTCTTCAGCTACCAGGACAAGAATGAGGAGGATGGTGGTAATTTCCGACAGGCGTCAGACACCTGTGTAGTGTTCAGCCTGTGAGATGGTCATACCTCTTTTGAAGGAGACGAGGACACCGGAAGGCGGGTGGGAGAGGCTGTGCCCAGGAACGCTGCTGAATTGCCTTCTGTTTATTGCCAGGGGGGTGACATGCTTTCCTTGTATGACCTCATTTAATCCTCAGCACAATGTACTTAATGAGGTGGGTATTATGCTTACTGTTTTACAGCCGAGAAAACTGGGGGGTGGCGTGGGGTCAAAGAGTTTATGTAACTT